CAATGTAATGTATTTTGTTTCTTGTCAGTTCTTAAACACTCTCTCCTATCAAGCGTGAATAATTTGAATTTGAATTTTTAGAAATGTTTTTTTTTTTTTATTTTAATATATAGGTTATAAATTAGCATTCAATTATCTCAAATCAAAACGGCTTACAGATGCTATTGATATTGCACATTTCGTATGTATTTTTATATTAATTTCTTTTGAAATAAATTTTAAAAAAACAATAATTCTTTAGATTCTTCAACGATATCCAGATAATATACGTGTTCGAAAAGATATCCTTGAAAAAGCACGTTTAATGCTTAAATAATATTTTTTTCATTTGTTATTTCATTTTATCATATTAATAAAAGAAAAGAACAAAAAAAAACCAACAATTCATTCATACATATTTATTTATTTATTCACAAGAACATTCTATACATTGAATAGAGAGAATACTTATGATAAAAGACACAATGTTCTTTTTCGTTGTTTCATTTTTGGATATTTTCCTAAACCAGCACGAATAGCAATATCAAAAACACGTGCTAAATTTTTTTGTGTTAATGCTGAACATTCAATATAAGCAACAGCTCCTATTTCTTGTGCCATTATTGAACCTTTTTGTGTATTAATCGGAGCGGATTTTCGAGCCTAATTTATAAAAAGAAAAAATAATTAAATAAAAATAAATTTTATGTTTTTTTTCTTACTAAAAGTTTATCAATAGTATGTTTATCATCACGTAAATCTAATTTTGTACCAACAAGTACAATTGGTGTATCAGGATTATTATGTTTTATTTCTGGTGACCATTTAGCTCGAACATTATCAAATGATGCAGGATTAACAACACTGTAACAAACAAGAAATACATCAGTTTGAGGATAAGATAATGGACGAAGACGATCATAATCTAAAATTTATAATTGATTTTATTATTTGAATTGATTTTATTCAATTGCATATATACCTTCTTGACCAGCCTAACAAAAAAAATAAGTATTTATATACGAATTTCAAAAAAAAAAAAAAAGAAAAGAAACAAACTATTTACCGTATCCCATAAACCAAGATTAACTGGTTCATTGTCGACCATTATATTTGCTGAATAATTGTCAAATCTATAGATGAAAAATATCAATTGAATTTTATTGAATAAGTTATTTAAACTTACACTGTTGGGATATACTCACCCGGACTAATCAAAAACAAATAAAAATTAAAGAATATATTATAAATAAAATGTTATAAGCAAAAGAATACTTACAAAGCATTGGTGGTATATGACATGAGTAGACAAGTCTTACCTACAGCACCATCACCGACAACCACACATTTGACATTACGATAGATACTCATTTGATCAAAATTAATTGATATAATCTTATAAAATATTCACACAATTTTTTCAAAAAGAGAAACAAAATTTTTGCTTTTTTTCTGCCGTTCACACATCAATGCTAAAGAAAAATGGGAAAAAAAGAAGTAGATAGATATATATATATATATATGTGTGTGTCTGTGTGTGTGTACATGTTTGCATTTTATTCTGCTCGTTCTGCAGTTGAGAGTTCATCGTTCTATGCCTTGTTCGTACATCATCGAACACAAGCAAACAAACGGTCAGACGTATAGCGGCGACCAATTCCCTTGCAGTAAATTCTACTTACTGTGAATGACTTTTTTTTCGCTCTCAGACATAAATACACATTTGTTCTCTTTCTTTTTCTCTCATCTCACGATCCGCCTACTATAAAACTGACTCTTTTTTTGCAACAACTAGAAGAAAAATGGAGCAGATGTTAGAGTACAACCCATATGATGATGGATCAGGGTCAATAATTGTCTATAATTTCTCATAAAAAAAATCACTTGAAAATTAATAATGAATTTACAATAAAATAACAAAAGAAAAAAGAAATATTTCTGAACTCGACTATATACAATCATCATATAATATCTTACATGAATTTATTTATTTATAATTGTCGAATTAAAATATCAAAATATTTCAAAATGTTTCCTTCAATATCAATAAAATTAAAGAAGTTTAATATGAATCTAATTGAATAAAATTTATATACTAAAAAGATAGTAAAACTATTATCATAAGATTAAATATATTTTCTTTATGATTATTATCTATGTAGAAAATGTTTCTTAAATTTAATTTCTATTTTGTAAAAACCCTTTTTTTTTTATTATAGTAATGAATAAGAAAAATGAAATCGAAATATATCTTGAATACAGTGACGCATAAGTTTATTCATGATGGTGAGAAAAAAATAAAGATGTGATTTTAATCATCAACAAATGCTACCTTTTTTTTTTAACTTTAGAATTTAAATATTTCATAAAACATTTTTAAATTAAAAAATAAAATAATAAACAAATACTATCATCGAAATGTTCAATATTCATACTGATTTTTTTCTATAAAACATATTGAAAAATTGTTATTCTTATTTTCAAATATTTATATTTATGATATGATGTTACTTTTGGATTTCTCATCTTTTTTTTTATGTCAATATTATTGGAAAAATAAACCTTGTCTCTCTCTCTCTTTCTCTCTCTCGATTATTGAAAATATGCAGATAAAAAGACTCGATCATCAAATATTCTTATCATTCTTGTTCGATATAAGTTACGTGTGAGAAACATGCAAGGATATCACCAACAACAACTAATCGTTTTTACTTTATTTCTTACAATTACATATGCAAAACCAACAATCAATTCTTTCGATGCTGTGGCTCCTATTGAAATAGGTCCTACTCACTCTACAATCTATGATACGCATGTCGAGTTAGTTAATCTTTATTTTCTAATTTATCTTATTATTCTTTACATATATTTATAGATTGTGGGCAAATATAACAGATTGTCCAAAACCAAGCTGTTCATGCAATGCACACATTGATAATTTAGGAGATGATTCACAACCATTAACTTTTCCGTCATCAAATCCAAATTTAGGCTTTGTGGAAATTTCAAATCTTGAACCGTCTACACAGTATACGTCTAATTTAAATTGTAAAGTAGACAATGACACTGACACGAAAACGTTCAATTTTACAACTGATTATGGTCGTCCATCAGCACCACAACATGTCACACCATCATTAGTTTCCTACCCTGTTAAAATTACTTGGTCACCTCCTGCAATACATGAGGCTTCATTTACTAATTATAGAATATTTATTGATAATGAGCCTACTCCAATATTTATAAACAAAGCTATAAATTCATATGAAATGGGCAAAGACTATGAAAATGGTACCACACATATAATTAGCATCCAAGCTTGTTATTCTAATAACCAAGATCGCTTAATTTGTTCCAAACCAGAAAAAATTACAGTAAATTTTTTCACATCAACATCAACAACGTCGACGACAACAACAACAACAACAACAACAGTAACAACAACAGCAACAACAACACCAGCAACAACACCAAAATCGACAGGCGTTCATTCTTATTCTATATCTGTTTTAATGATCATTTTTTCTCTTTTTCTTTCCAGTAAAATGAAATGTTAAAAAAAATATTCTGCTAATTTTGTTTTTTTTTTAAGTTTTATTTTAATTAACAATAAATCTATTCAAACTTGCGTAAATAATAGATTCATTTTACTTTGTAACAAAAACTCTCGAAAGAACTATCTTTTGTCATCTTTACTTATCATGCTATCGAAATAAGAAAAAAATAAAAAACTATTTCCGAGAAATTTTTTTCATTGATACAAAAAGTTTTTTTTTATTAAAAATAAAGATTTCTGAATATTGTTCTATAGGGTGTCCAGAAAGTAACAAAACAAAGAAAAGTTTGAATACATATCTCTGGCATATTTTGATCAAATGGGCTAATATTTTTACTACTGATAAAGGAGTAGGCATAGCTCATATTCATAAGGGAAACGTTGTCAAAAATTGTTTTGAAATAGTACAACTAACTTCAACAAAAAACTGTGACCTTTCACGAGTTATGAAAAACCAATATTGTAGTTTTGTCAATGGTTGAAACTTCCAGAGTACACCGAATAACAAGACATGTATCTGTAGTATAAGTATGAGATAAACCAACACTAGTGTGGAGAAGTAATCGAAAAAATTACATTTCGTTTATTCTTGGCGAAAGGAATAAATATATTGATTTTTTCATAACTGGGAAAATGTTATAGTTTCTCGTTGAAGTTAGTTATACTATTTCAAAACAATTTTTGACAACGTTTTTCTTATGAATATGAGCTATGTTTACGCATTTATCAGTGGTAAAAATATCAGCCCATTTGGTCAAAATATGCCAGAGGTATGTATCCAAACTTTTCTTTATTTTGTTACGTTCTGAACACCCTGTATATATTTGTCTGCCAAAAAATCATTTAGTAAAAAACAAAAAAAAAAAATATTTTTCAATTTTATCTGACATGTCTTTTCTTTATTTTTCTTCTATGATACAGAGAAAATGATAATCGATCGAAGAAAGATGCTTATTATTTTTAGTAATGAATGATTGGAAAGTTTTTAAACACGATGTTTGTTTACTTTTAATTCTCTAAAAAGTATTTCCGACGAGTCAAAAGCTATGAGTTAGAATGTTCTTTTCGAGTATGATCATAGAAATTTTGTCTTAGTTTTTTGTTCGAGAGTAATGAGGGACTTTTTGAAAGAGATGAAAAATTATCTTTACGATGAGTCAACAAGTTTTTGTTTACCTTAAAAGTTCATATTCGAACATGCGAAAAATTGTCGAAGTCAGAAAACATTTTTTTTTCAAGAGTTTTTTTCAAAGTAGAATGGTGGTCAATTTTTTAAAAATGACTATTTAGTAAAAATGAAAATCGAGGTGTCTTGTCGAAAGACAAGAAAGGACTTGAAATAGCGCATTTTGTAGAGTAACTTCTGATTTACAACCTCATATATATACATATATAAAGATCCCAACTTTTAGTTTCGAATCAGGTTTTTTAAAGATTATTCCACTACTTTCGAACAAAAACTGGAACAAAATTTCTAAACCCATCCTCGGAAAAAGTATTCTAACTCATAGACTTTCACTTGCCGGAAATATTTTCTAGCAAGTCAAAAAGTAAACAAAAATCTTGTCTAAAACCTTTTTGATTACCTATTATTAGAATAAGTTAGTTAAAGGATCTTGAACTTTGTAGAATTTGAAAAATCAATTAACAAATATATTTATTCAATTTGCGATGTCAAGTAAATCTTTAATGATAATTTCTAATCATTCAAATATAATAATATAAAAATTTTTGAATTATAGCATTTGAAACGAATATCAAAATAAATAATTTTTAGAATTTTCAGAAATTTGAATATTATTAATTAAAATATATTGTAGAATTGACCATGGTTAATAATCTCTAAATATATGAAACATTTCACATGTTGTTGATCAAAGATTCTTAGTTTTAAAAATCAAATAATAGTCACAATTGAATTGTATATTATTATTTAATAAAATAAATTCATATAATGAAACTTTTATTTCTTTGTCTTTTCATATCACTTATAAAAATGTCTATGACTAAAGTGATTTATACAATAGAGATTTCTATATGTTTACGTAATCATTCTGCATATAATAACAAGTGTACGTATACTAAGAATACGTTTGTCCTAAAGCTTAAGTTTTTGTTTTTCGACAAAAAAAAAAATGAAAATTTGTCATGATCAAGAAGAACAAGGAAAAAAAGGTATGCTTTAACATTTTTTTAAGTCAAAAAATGAAAATAAAGACTACAAATAAACACACACAACAAGTAGAAAAATATGTATGAAGATCATTGTGTTTGTTTCTCTAAACTAATCTGTTCAAGTCGTTGCCATAAATTTGTTCGATCTTGTTCTTTAATCATTAATCTATATAATAAAAATATTTATTATTTCGTCTTGTTTTTTTTTTTTCTTTCAATCAAAAGTTAATAATCATTTCAATTTACTTTTTTTCATCATCTCGTAATGTATTTAATACATCATCACATAATTTTTTATTAATATCCATTAAATTTTTTAATAAATTATATGTTAATGTTGTTATATTTGCATTCCAATGTGTTTTAGATATTCGCCATAATGGTGGAAGTAATATAGGTAAAATTTCTTCAAGATTTTCTTCAACTAATTGCACAATATATTCATTTGACCATATTGCTAATGATCTTTCAGCTACCTAAAAAAAAATTGCAATTTGTTGTTTTTTTTTTCTTTTCTTATGAATCAAATGTTTTGTATTTTAAGACTATCAACAAAATTCGGACAAAAAAAAAAAAACTTTTTTTTCATTGATTAAAAAATGATTAATGATCTATTAATAAAGATATAAGATAAGATTATTGAATATCTGATTCATATCGAATTTTTTTTAGCAAAGATGTGTTACAAGGGAACGTTACCAGGTGTTAATTCGAAATTCGAATTAAAATCAGGTGTATTATGTAGACCCTTTTAAGCACTGAATATCTTGAATATAGTTTGCATCTTGATTTTATTTCTAACGAGATATTTAATTTTTACGACATTTTTTAGCACAATGCTTTAGCCTATGTGAGAATCACTTGATAAATTAACTTTCTAATAGTGACTTAAAATTTCACACAGACAGATATCTTAATGAGACTAGTTTATTGTAATCATCTCAAATTTATTGGTTGCTTCTACCTTAAAATATGAACATGAAATATTTTGTGTTCTAATAAATATGAAAAACAAAAACTTTTTCTAATGATCATATCAGTACTTTACCCAGTGGAAGAGTGGCGCTCCTCGAAAGATTGAGTTTGTGGTTATTGTACTACGTACTATAAGTTTGTGCTCTAAAAAATAGATGTTCATCCTTCTGGAATTTTAAATCGTCCTTCTGAAAGAGAAAATCTAGATAAAACACTGAATCATATCTAGGAATAGAAAGAACTCAAAAAAACTGAAATTTTGAAAGTTTCAAATCAAAATTCGGAAATTAATTTTCTAAGTGATCCTCACAGAGACCGTGGCGTCCTTTTAAAAAATGTCACAAAAAATTAGTAAATTAACATCTAAGAACATTCTCTCATTAGTCAAAGTTCTATATCAATTTCATGACTTTAAATAGAACTCTCACATCCTGTAATACATTGAATAAAATGAAATATTCAGTAATTACAATTTATATGAAAATATCTACATAATAGAAAGCAACTTATTGTGTTGACACAGAAATATTACATATGTATAATCCTAATTGACTGGTTACTTCTATATAACAGAATTAAATTAAGTTAATATTGTAACTTCTAAAAAGACTTCTCATTTTCATATAATTAATGTTTTTATGTAAATGAATAAATATTGTTAATCATAAAATTTAACATAAATTAATTTACTTGAAAATGTGATGATGTAGCTGATCGTGTAATTTGTTGAAAAAGTGGTATACTAATAGTTCGAAATGTTTTTGAATCGATTATATCAAGAATTTCTTCAAGTTCATTAACAAATAATATCTAAAAGAATCATCAATTATAATTAAGAAAAACAAAAATAAAGAAAACGTATTTAAAAGAAAAGAAAAATTCTTCTTTATACTTCTTTAGTTGAACATGTTTTTGGCCAATATTTAAGTAAACCTTTTATTATAAGTTCACCTAATGAAGATTCTTTTTCAATAAATTGTATAATACAGTACGTTAACTATAAAAAATTTAAAAAAAAAACAACAACAACAACAAATAGAAATCAATTAGAACAAATATTTCATTTACTTGTGGATGAAATAAACTTAATGAATGAACTTTATGTAATGGTATAAGTATTCGTGCAAGAAATACTTTATGTTCTTCTTTTAATGGTATAGCAAAACCATTAATTATACTAAATATATAAATATATGTATAATATAAATTTCTTTAAAAATATATATATTTTTATCTTTTTCAAAATAGAATACCTTCCAAGTATTTCCAGTAGTTCAGCAATACCATTAAATCGTTCATATTCGTAGACAAATCTTAATAATAATAAAAAATAGCGTTTAAACAAACATCTAAACTATCATTAGAACTGTAGTAAGCCTTCGAGAAAGCATACATTGATTACTAATTTAATTTAATTTTATAAATCAAAAAAAAAGAAATTCTATTATTTGATGATTAAATGATTCAAATCATAGACTCGATAATCAATTTCTCTTGATCATGTTTGTGAAAATGTTCATTTATAATATCAAATTTCATGTAAAGAATATTCTAACGAGGAAATATTTTCTACTATCAAATTACGTTTCGCTTAAGGCTGTTACCATGTGATCAGTCAGAATAAATAGTGAAAAGGACCTGTTTTTATTTGGTTTGCCGATATTCTCTTGTCGAATTATGGGTGTTTTACTCAATTTCACTCTATGAGTACAGAATACCTCAGCAATCTGGATAATTGAATATCGAACTGCAATTGTGTCTATAGATGAACGTTATAGCGATGACTAGAAACAATCAAAAATTTAAGCTAGAACAACTGTGCTCGTATCAAGATATCAGCTTATCATAGAA